TTTCTTCCTTTAAAATAACTCAGTTATTCATTCTTTGACATTACAGCAAACAAACACCACCCCTAAACCTAAACATTAGTAGTCTAAAGTATAGCTCTCCAATGGAGCATATGTTGGATTTTCCTTCCTTTCATAAAATAAAAAAATCTTTTTACTTTCAAGAGCAAACTTTTTTCAAGATAATTGACATCTCAGAACTTCAAAGCACTCGGTCAATCTTGAAAAATCCTTCAAACATGAAAGTGCATGTCTCGGTGACCTCCTTCAGTACTGGTCTAATAGGTCATCCAGGAACATTTGTCATGCTGAAGTGTCAAGTCTCTTTTTTCCCTAGTGAGAAATTATATTATCTCTATAGCTTTTTTTTTTCTTCATAATATTTCCTCTATAGTCTCAACTATGTTCATATTTGAAGAAATTATAACTAACATGCACCTAAAAACTGGATTGCTTTTGTCTCTTGTACCTAGAAAGTACAGCTAGGTTGAGGTTGTGGATGCATTCCAAATTCATCAGAATTAGATGCATTATCTGAAAGTTACCTGCCAGTGGCTAAATCAAAATTACTACTATGGTTGTATTTAAAGTATCTTATAGTATGTTATAACAATATAGTATGTTATGGTATCTACTGAAATTGTACATATAGTATCTATCTATGTTATCTTGAGAATTAATTAAGAGACTTTTTAATCCGTATTTTCTTCAGCTTTTGAGATTTGTAACAGTTGCTGTGGGTATTTGTCCTTTGTTTTTGTTTTTTTGCCCTTGACCAAAGAATTCTCTTACTTCCCCTTCAATACTTAGCTGTAGCTTATAGACATGATACAAATTTTTGAAATGAGATGTTAATCCTTTTAATCTTGAAGTTCCCTTTTCTCCCTCTACTAAACAATGTTTATTATTAACCATACTAACTTCCAGGTGCTACCAGATGCAGCTGAATACCAACATTAAATTAAAACTAACAAAACTGACCCGTACCCTCCCTCCTCACCTTCCCTTCAAACTAAAGATGCATTAGACAAGCCCTTTTCACTCAGTAGTAATATCTGAATCACAGAGAAGTGTTTCAGTTCTTACTTTTAACAGTGAGGTACATGGACTTGCTGACGTCTGCTCCCACATCATTGCTGACCTTGCAGAGGTAGTATCCACTGTCTTCTTCCAGCACATGTTTAATCAGCAAGGAGCCATTTGTGAGAAGCTGGATGCGACCATTCAATGCAATCGGCTGGAACTGAGGAACCCCGGCACCTAAAGCAGGACCCCCATGGAAACAGGTTAGTTAGGAAGGAAAGTATCTCTTTTTTTTTTTTTTTTTTTTCAAAATAAGGCAGAAATTATAGCTTCCTGTTCTTAGAGGCTCAATTCAATTGAAATACAAATGGCTTCTGACATCACCAGAACAAACGGAATGGTTCTTTGCCAAAACTGAATTCATTAAATGGAAAATAAAAAGGTTTTTGGAATGTAATAGTAGCAATAATTTGCCCAAGTTAAAGGCAAAGGTGCAAAAAGAGCGTGAAGCAGGAGTGTAAGAACCAGAAAGGGGGAGAGAGAAAATGAAAGACAATTTTCAGACTGCTCATGGGTAAAAAGGCACATTTGTTGTACATTTAGAGGCTGATAAATTATTCACAATTACAGCTGAACAGTCATACAAGTATGCATCCCTAATGCATACACCAAATGAATTTCTTATGACTAAGAGGGATGTCTGTTGTAGTAAACATAGCATACTCAAGGGACCTCTAGGTCTTTGTTTACGAAACTCTAGGTAACATGGAAAACCACATCTATTTTTTTCTTTGATACTTTAACTCTAGCTCTAACTCTAGCTCTAAGTCTGCCTGTCTGCAATGGGTTGCCCAAGTAGACAGATGCAAGCACTCACTTCTTGTATTTCTTCACATGAAAAATTCTGGGGACAATTTGAAATTCACAGAAGGGAAAGGGCTGATACTCCTGAGGATAGCAACAACTGGTCAAAATTTTTCATAACGGTTTACAAAGGCTTCTTACTCTTCACATGCACAGTTACTGCTATTGCATTCGAAGTCCTCTCTGAGCAGTGACAGCAGCTTATCACACACAACAGCATTGATATATCTGTAAGAGGACTAAATGCTCATAAATCACAGAATCACAGACTGGTGTAGGTTGGAAAGGACCTCTGGAGGTTATGTGGTCCAAACCATTTGCTCAAGCAGGGCCACCTAAAGCTGGTTGTCCAGGACCATGTCCGGATGGTTTTTTTTAATATCTCCTAGGATGAGACTCCACAGCCTTGCTGGACAACCAGTGTCAGTGCTCAGTCACCCTCAGAGTAAAAAACAGTTTTATTACACTAAATGGAGACTCCTGTATTTCAGCATGTGCCCGAAGCCTCTTTAAGTCTGAAGGACTTAAAACAATAGATTCTTGCTAATTATGGGGTGTCTGTATTGATCACTGTCATTATTCGTTAGAGACAGCAAGTCTGTTTCCTTTACACAGGAGGAGTCCTACCTTTTGAGTACTTCCAGACAATGGTAGGAACAGGATAACCCTCTGCCGAGCAGTTGAGAATGACAGCTTTTCCATAGATCCCATCCTGGTCACTGGGCTGAACCACAAACCTGGGGGGTACTGTGGGAGTAAGTAAAAGGAGCCATGAAAATTTGTGCAACTTATCAGGTAGCTCAAAATGGAAGACCAGACAAATAAGGAGGCATAATATTGCATAGCAGAAAGAAAAAATTAAAACCAGTTTTGGTGATCCAGTGACATAGTAAAGTTGGTGTTACGTTGTTGGGTTTTTTCTGTGCACAGTCTCAATGTATTCCTTGCCAGGCACAAGCAAAGCCCTGGTCTTGATAGGATACAAAAATAAGTTAATAAAAATCTCTCCATAGTAGAGGCTATAAAATAGAGTACCAGATAAACCAAACTGTCATGGTCAGAAAAGAAATGCTTTCAAACAAAGAGAGAAGTACAACAGTTGTTGCACAACTGAAGTTTTTTGTGTTTGTTTTTTATGACAGCAAACTAATAAGCTTTAGAAAAAGAATTAAATTATGTAGCATAAACAGCCTCAAAGAATAACAGCTTTTAATACAAATCAAATAACTTCATATTAAAATTAGGGTGTTTGAATCATAAATTTTGACAGGACTTTTCTTTCCAAACAGTCACAGAAAGGTTCAACATAATTTGCTTGCACTAAGTTGAAGAGAAAAATTGTTACTGGAATAGATGTATGGACATCAATGTATACATATTATTAGACTTATTCTAAGGAAGGATAGAACCACTGCAATAAGTCTTCCAGACATAGGCAAGTACATCTGTATTTATACATAAATAAAATAAGAGATGCTCATCTCAAGGAAAAGCTTTACATATTCCAAATACAGATACACAGCGAAGAAAACTTGTGACAATGCTAGATCTACAGTTTACCATGAAGGCCCAAAACTGAATGTCAATGTCTCAATAAAACCTGAAGATCTGGCAAAAGTTTGAAAGAAAAGCTGAAAACTGTGAAGAGTGGTGAAAGAGCTACAGAAGTTATTGAAAATTAAAGGGGCTAAATGGTAGTATTAAAGTCAGTTAAAGTCACATACTTTCATTGATCTCCTGTTCTTTGGTTCAGAGTATGAAGAAGTAAGTACATGAGAAAAAAAGTAAATTATTTGTGCCCTTAACCCATATGTTATTCTTTTTATTATTTCTTACAGTGCTTCAGAGAAAATGTAGTAAGGTGACTGAGCCTGTGACAGATTTTTTTTTCCTCTCAAACTGAGTATCACGATACACTAAGATCTAATGCAGTAAAGGAGAAATCCTAATAGGTGCTTGCTTTCCTTGCCCCAATGCAGGTATGCACAGGGTGACACACACACAACCTCATGGGTGCCCAGGTCCACAGGACTTGCCAATTCTGAGTTTGTCTGAACGCTGGGGGAGGCAGAACAGAGGGCCTAGCTGCCCTTTCTCCCCCTAACCTAGCCCATCTTCCCAAACCCCAATCAGGTCCCATGATCTGCCTCTCCAGAAGTGCCAGAAATTAAGAATGGGAGTATGAGAGAGTCTGTAGCATGAGTAAATGTAAGGCAGCATAGAAGAGCATCATCAGTACAGTGACTATTTGCCATGGGACCTGAAGCTCGTAATGGCCATGCATACAGTACCGCTTATACATCAGAAAAACTGCACCACAGAAGCACAGCAGAAGGACCAATGATATAAGATATAATTTTAAATTTTCTTCAGATATACACTCTGATAGTTTATGCAAATAGAACTCCCCATTATACCAGAATCCCAACTTTTCCTTGAGAAACTTGAGATGCCAGTGTTACTATGGACAGGACTGCTGAAAGTTGGAAGTATCTCGAGATGCTCTTTCCAGGTACAGAGAACCTACCTCACAATGGTTTGAGCCTTCCTCCCTATGCCTCCATAATCCAGACTCTTCTCCAGTTTTCTCTTTCCACTTTCATAGCTACAACTGTTTTTTTAAAAGATGAGAACAATCTTCTGGAGAGCAAACAATCCCTTTAACTGGACCTCTTGCTCATTGAAACCTATAGCTGTAATACAAAGCTGTTTATTGCCTAAATATGTACAAAGAAGCTTAGCTTATTTTTGGAACAGAGTTAGAAGAAATAGAAGGAACTAACAGCAATAGAGGCAAGAGACCCCTTTGTATAAAAAGATATTTACTGCTGTCAATGATTTCAGCTTTCCAAATGGCTGCCACACTGACAAACATAAATCATATGTTATGTTAATTCATGATAGGTAAGCATCAAACATGAAATCCTGGCAACAGCAGCCCTGGGCAATCACCCACCCTGTTCTAATTATCTATTCACAGAAGACATTTGCTTCGGTAGCTCTTTTCTCACTCTTCCATGTTCATTTTATCACCAAACACAAAAGCATTCCAAAGTACTTATTTTGCAAAGCAGGTGAAAAGTACAATTAGTTGTACAAATAGGTTAGATTCTATATAACTCAGCATGTTGACATCAGCTTGTTTCACCTCTGTAACTGTAAGTAAATTTGTATTCACAAATTCTGAAAAATCAATTATGAGCTACTTATCCATAAAGAGGGTAGACAAAAAAAAAACCCAACCCAAAAACCCAAACCACAAAAACATCTCTGTTGTTCAGCTTCACAAAGCTCCCCTGAACTCCAATGGGGACCTGACTCCACCCCAGGCTGAGCCAGATAGCAAGAGGGAAATGCTTCTTTGAATCCATACTTATGAGGGGGAGAACTAGTTTGGCAAGGAAGGAGAGAGCCATCAGGAGATCATGGTCCTGAATAAAAGACCATGGGCCTGAACAAAAAGAGCATCCTTGACATAAGAAGGGAGGAGGGGAGGAGACAGAGAACCTCAGACATGCAGATCAGCATGCAGAAGAGTAGGGGGAGGTAAATGAGGGCCCCCTGCAGCCACGGAGGTTCAACGGTGGAGCAGGTACCCACATGTAGCCCATGGAAGACTCCACGCTGGAACAGGATGCAGTTATTGACTACGCTGAGTGCTCGTGATGAGCAAGAAGACCACAAAGTAGGGGCGGAAGAGGTGCGCTGGACTAGAAACCTGTGTGCAGCCTGTGGACATTCCCATGCCAGAGCCAGGAGCTGTGCCACATGGCACAGCATCCTCCTGAGGTCTGTGACTCTGAAAGGCCCACATTGGAACACTTTAGTCCTTAACTCTTTTAGCTCGTGGGAGGAACCTTATGTTGGAATGAGTGACATAAACAAACTGACTGCAACCCCCATTCCCTGACCCCTGTGCCTCTGGGGGGGAAGGTAGAGAAATCAGGAGCAAAGTTATTTGAGCCTGGGAAGAAGGGAGGGGTGGGGGAAGGTGTTTTAAGATGTGGTTGTTATGCCTCACTGTGCTACTGTGATTGATTTGTAATGAATTGAATTGATTTTTTCTTCTACAAGTTGAGTCTTTTTTGCCTGTGGCCATAATTGGTGAGTGAGTCCTCCCTGTCCCCATTTCAACTCATGAGGTCCATTTCAACAAATGGACCCTTTGTTGTGTTTCTTTCCCCATCTTACTGGGTTGGGGTTGGGGGAATGAGTGAAGGACCACATGGGCTTAGCTGTGGCTGAAACCACCACATCCTTCTTTTTGAAAAAGCTTTTTCTTTACGTTCTTCATTTGTTATGGATGACACTGGTAAAATGTGCTAATCTTTCAGGAAATAATTTATTATATTAAATGGATAGGTATATGCAGATAGTTCCAGAGAAGTTAAGCAAGATTGCCTAGCATGGATTAAAGGCAATCAGCCTTTAAAATACTATTTGCATTAAAGTTGCCTGATAAAATAAAATTTTTGTCTAATCTCTTTGGGCATATATAGAGAAAAATTAATGGATGTCAAGTGTAACTGTTGTTTGAGCATTTCTATTGAAATGCATCCTTCTGTATCTTTAATGAACTTATGCAGATATTGTCAGATGTGTTGTGCCTTTAGCACTGTCAAGCTCTGAACGGGGCTTTTTATCATATTGATTTAACTGTATTTTGGATATATATATATACACATATATAAAACATAGGTTTTAATGCATATATTCTTGGTATTCTCATTTTTAATCATTACTTCTAATGCAGAATGATAGCAGAATGGTAACTGTGGAAATTAAATTTTGCCATATAAACTCGAGAACCAGGTGCATGATTAAAGATCATACAATTTCCTTGTACTGCTTCATAAACAGAATATGTTTCAACCTCACTTGGCAAAAACTCTTCTCACATCCAGTAACAGAAACAATTTCTATATTCAGTAAAGCTTTGGCCTTCCATTAGGACTACTAATAAAAATGCCAACTGCTGCTCTGATTTTGAAGACATGAACCCCTGACACTTAGTCTTAAGATTGCCAATAGAAATCAGAAAAGATGCTACAGTAAAACAAAATTACTCATTCAATGACCTTTCAATTGTTTTTGTATTCTGTAGGTAAAACCACAGGATTTTTCTCTTATAGAAATCATTAAAGAGTAAACAGAGACCTTACATTTTTATTCCTCATTGATAGTTCACTTCTCAATTTTATTTCAAATAAATAACTTGTTCAGTGCTAGGTGCTACCATATTTTGGAAGACAATGCAGTTAACTACTTGATCAAGATTTTGATACTTAGCTTTAGATTATAAAACTACATTCAGTTTTTCATTATCTTTCAGGAATTCATTATCCCTTAAAGAAAAGCTGCTTAATAAGAATTTAACCAAGTTAATTTGTCTGATATGCTTAAGTACAGTTAATGGATAAAAGAAAGCAGTTAGTTCTCCTCCTCTCTCTCTAGTCATAGAGATGTGGGCCTCCTCTGCCCCTTAAGAAGTTAAACGCTCTGAAATAGCTCAAATATGAGTGAACAGTTCTACTTTTATTATCACCCTTGTTTCAGCATCACAGTCCCTTGAGCCCATAAAGGAGGACATTTAAAATTGCTTTAACAGTGAGTTTCTGTTAGGCTCTCACTTAATGCAGCCCACGGATCTGTGACGAAAAATGAGCTGTTGAATTGTTTAGTGTAGGAGCAATAAGTTGACAGATGCAAATTATTTAATGATTGAACTCAAAGGACCTAAAAAAGGT